AATACTGTAAATTGTATACCTAGATTTTTATTTATCTATCTTTTCAAATAAAAATGTTATAGGTGAGTAAATGAAAACGATGAAGTTGCTCAATCTTTAATCTCGTTTTCCCAAAAGTAACGATTTTCGAGATGTGCCCTTTTAATACTAAGGGTGCGAAATGCTTCTAGACAAGGTATTATCTGATGATGAATGCGTCGAAAGTAATTTACTGGGCAAAAACTGTGAAGATGAATATTTACCTAGTTATAAAGGTAGTGAAAGTTACGGAAAGATAAAAAAGTACAACACATGACCAGTAAGGACGATGTTATTCAAGATTTACCTAGTCCTTCTACTGCTCAGAGTAAGTATAATTCATTTTACTAGATACAATTTTTGTAAAGCTTATATCGTTTGTAGATTATGTTGATAATTCCAATGACGAACTTCCTGACGATCAAGTTCGATCAGATGCAAAAGGATCTCCACAATCAGTTCCAGTTTTTAAATTCTATCAAAAGATGGTAACGAAAGTAACAGTGAGAACTACAGTATTAATTGGTATATACCGGATGGCAGCCACATCAAACGAATTTTATTTGTCGAGCCAACGCCCGGCATAAAACCCCATATACTTCACGGTTATCTTGATAAGAGACAATATGAATTATATGATTGTAGCAGAAACCAATACGTATTCAGTGAATGGGATTATATTCCTACCCAAAAATAAATGGGGCAAAACTGTTAAAAATAAATGGGGAAATACTGTAGAAAAACTAAAAAACTCATAGTGAGTACAATAATTAAAAGAGTTCAAAGACTTTTCAGATCAGATAACATCTTACGATCATTCGCTTAGGGAAGGGATTAAGTGGTACAGAAAACTTGCCTTTGAGCTAATTTTAGAAACCACTGTTATAAATGCCTATATTCTACATAAAGAAGTAACAAAGGCCAGAGCCACAAGTAAGTCACAAACTTACGAATGAGGAACAAGAAATCGTTATGTGGTATGTTACCACCGAATATCAGAAGAATACGATAGAAAAACTGGTTTTAATAAGACTTCTTGGCCTCTCTGGAAATGTATAGCGTGCAATATACATTACTGTGTTTCCTGCTTCTTTGTAGCCCATTCTGCGAACAAAATGTAGTTCTACTTCTTGGCCTCTCTGGAAATGTATAGCGTGCAATATACATTACTGTGTTTCCTGCTTCTTTGTAGCCCATTCTGCGAACAAAATGTAGTTCTACAAATTTTGTTGCTAATTTTAAGTCTATAATGTATTTTCATTATAAAATGTGTTTAGTTTTTTCTAATAAACAAACTTAAAAAGCATTTACAATTTTCTTATAATATAGGAATAAAAGCAACCTATCGGAATATACTAAGTTTATTGGTAACCGTAACTTGAAATTCCGAGGAAGTGAGCAGCTTGAGTCTGCCAGGCAACATATTTATTACACTTGCATAAAATATATAGTAACCGCAGTAGGATAAAAATGCCACGCCACAAAATACATTGGAATACCATGCGGCATAACTGCTGTGCCTCAGAACTTAAACTAATTTTTTAGTGTGGCACAGTGTGAATGCCGCATGTCGATTAACATTTCTGTAATGTAAATTTTTTTTATACTTTTATTATTCTTTTTAATATACACATCAGTCATTAAAAGTCTAAGGAACACCACTATTATTTCACTTTTTTCAATAAAAAATTCATTTTATCAAAGGTATGCCATGAAAATTGATCTGTAAGTTGCACTGTTTTGTTGAGGCAAAAGTCACAGCGACACAAATTTTTACGATTAATTGCTTCAAATTGTAAAGGAAAAGTTGTTAAAATCTTAAAGATAGTCTTTATTTACTTGAAAATTTTACTCAAACAAGATTATTAAACGGTCACCTACAAGATTTAACATCTGGAAGATAATTCTTCGTGATAAATTTAAGCTTCTATGATCCAGGTCTTGCTCCGCGTCTCTTTTGGACTGTTCTCGAGTATACTTATGGTAGCGACCATCACCCTATTACCATTGAGAATTTCTTACGTCAGCCTTGTCCAATATCTTTTTTGTCCAAATGGAATATAAATTCGGCTAAGTGGATCGATTTTGAAAATTATATACATAAGGCTTTGGAAAGTCTCATATTGAATGATAATTAAACGATTCTTTAGATACTTTTAATAGTGTCATCTTGCAGAGTGCGGAGCTCTTCATCGGCAAAATAAAGTCCATTAAAAATCATGTTCCTGTGCCTTGGTGGAATTGAACGGGAGTGTAACAAAGCAGTACGTGCAAGCAGAACAGCTTTTAATAGATTTAAGAAGCATAAAATATTCGACAATAAAATTAACTACAAAAAAATGAAGGCTACAGCTCAACGTTTAATGAATAAAACAAAAAATCAAGTTGGGCCCAATATGTCTCTAGCATTAACAGCTCCACTCCTGTAAGAGAAGTATGGAAGAAAATACGTAAAATTTCTGGTATAAAGGAGTCATCCCCAATATCTAGTCTCAAAATAGGTAATCAAATTGTCGCCTCTCCTCTTGAATTTGTTAATACATTAGCTAAAAACTACAGAGAAATGTCTTTCAATGAAAATTTTGACCCTGTATTTCTGGAAAATAAACTAGAGACGGACAGGTCTAACCTCTTTTTAGAAAACTACAACATTCCATTAAACGCTTCTCTCACGTTACAAGAACCAAACAACCCACTGAACAATCTAAAAGAAACAAGTCCTGGGTCTGACAATATCCTAACTATTTTCTTAAAATGCCTACCCACATCTGCTTAAAATTACATGTTTCAATTATTTAACTTCATCTGGCAGCAACACCAGTACCCATCTGTTTGGTCAAAATCTATCATTCTCCCATTTCTTAACTTGTACATAAGCCTAACTTGTACAATGGGCAAGCTACTAGAAAAAATTATCAACTCAAGGCTGACTTGGCATCTAGAAAATTCGAACTAACTTATAAACGAACAAAATGGTTTTCGACAAAATCGATCCGGGATAGACAACATATTAGACCTGGAAAGTGATATTCATGAATCTCTGGCAACAAAACAGAATTGTATCGCAATATTTTTTGACTTAAGAAAAGCATTTAATACATGTTGGAGATTTAACATTTTAAAAAAGTTAGAGTCATGGAACATTGATGGAAACTGCCTTCATTTTATTAAGAACTTTTTAGAAAACAGATCTTGTCGTGTAAGAGTTAACAACTACTATTTCGAAATACAGGATGAAAAAAACGGTATCCCTCAAGGGTCAATTATTAGTCCTACACTTTTTCTAATTGCTATTAATAACATAATTAAAAACCTCAAAAAACCTTTAAAAGCACGTTTATATGCAGATAACTTAGTGGTTTATGTAAAAGGCAAAGATATTAATTTAACTTTAACAATTTTGCAAAGCTTCTTACAAAAATTCGAAACGTGGTCTTGTGATATTGGTTTTCTATTCTCGGTTACAAAAACCATTGGTATGGTATTTTCAAAAAAGAACTCAAATAATCCCAATTTCAAGTTTTTCAATACATGTGTATCCTTCAAATCATGTGTAAAATTCTAAGGTATGTAGTTTGATATCACTGGGGAGCACATTTTTTGTTGAGTTAGGTCTGACACTTACTTTTCACTAATTTGTGTCCTCTGAATCTGAGAATAACCTCAGATCTTGTCTATCACGTCAACTTTTTAAACTACAGGGTATCTTCAAAAATCATGCATATAAAAAACAAAATAAAACGTACCAAATCCAAAATGTGCCGATATAGAAAAAGCCGAGTATCTAAATACTGCGAGTGATATAAAAGCTTTTATAAAGAATCGAGTTTTGTGCGAAGTTTAAAAACGAATGGCAATCTTCTCAAACATCACCAAAGCAAATTAAAAATGACGTTACAGCTTGGGAACCCTCAACCAGGAACAGAAGAGAACAATTGGTGATAACGAGATTACGATTGGACATAGGAGACTTACTCACTCATATTTATTGTCCAAAAGTGATCCACTTATTTGTGAAACATGCAATGTATAACTTACCGTTAACCATTTATTAATTGAATGCCATAGATTTGCCAATTTTCGTGTTACATTTAACATACCTAACAGTTTAAGTAATTTATTAGCCACTAATTTTTCAGCTAATAATATTGTGAATTTCTTAAAATCTATAGGAATATTTTATAAACTCTAATTTTGTAGTTCTGTAGCCGCCGCTAATAACCATTATGGTGGATGCGGCTGTAATTTCTAAATAAATAAATAAAAAAGATTATCAAACGCAGCAATAGTCATAAAGCGTTGGCATTTAACACATGTTAAAACGGTAAGTGCTGTGAATATGATTGAGGCTGGTCTTTCACAAGCTGATTCACACTGATTTCACAAGATGTTGCACATCATTTTAAGTTATCTTACTGCACATAAACTTTGAGGAATAGATAACATGAAGTTGGGCCTGCACACCAGTTATGTCTTGAAAATCGTAGACTCAGATTAAGGTGGACATAACAACATATGAATTGGGGTTAAAAATGTTATTCACAAATAAAGCTGGGTTTTTTCTACCCTGATTGAATGGCTTAACCGAAGTACCTGAGGATATGATACCAAACATATACTACAGAGCTATTTCTAGATGATGCTAATAATGTAATTCTTACTCCATCCATGATGGTCGCCATGTATATACAAAAAAGTATATTTACATATATTCATAGAACCAAGAAATAATCAGAATCTTACTTGAAATATTGTCTGAAAAAATAATGGATTGTTACTGAAATTTTTAAAATGTACGAAATTAAAAAAAATATGAAATTTATTATCCTCAAAATTGTCTATAAGAGTCTAAATGATAGTTATGTTGTTCACCTTGCCCAGCATAAAGTAATTTTTAACGCTATTTTCCACCGACGGACATTGATTGTTTATACTTATACGACTATAAAAGGAAACTTCGGGATTGCGGCAGCATCTTTTCGCTGTAAGTAACCGGCCGGCAAAGAAAATTTAACCTTGCTATTTACTAGGTATCGCAGAACGTTACACTATTTGCAGTTTGTCATTAAAATTATGGGTTTTTGTGTCAAAGCTAGTCTTTTGTTCGTGACATTTTTAGGTGTCGTAACAGATGCAGCCAAATTACGTAAGTATTTATAGCATTATAGTTTTTAACATAAAATATATTATACGCGTTTAAACAAAACAGTTATTTAAAGTAAATATATGATTTAATTAAATATTTAAATAAAAATGAAAAGAACCGTGGACCCACAACCAAGAACTTGAAATATCAATGTGTATGTTTGTCTTTTATATTTGCACATCATTAAGAATGATTTCGCAAACAAAAATTCACCATTAATTATATATTTTCAATCTTTCTGAAAATGACTTAGTAAATAAAAATTTAAGCGAAATTGCTCGAAAAATTTTGTACAAAAAACAGTACATGTAAAGCCTACAATTAAAAAAAAAATATTATTGATCTTATACACAGCTAAAAAAAAATTTTAAATTTGTATATTGGTATAAATATTTATACCAATATACAAATTTTGAAGATTTTTACTTCTGTATAAGAGTTTAACTATGCTATACAGACAACTACTGGGATTTTCCCATTAATTTTAATATTACTGATGTTATATTTGTTTGGCTACATGTTTAAGTTCTTATTTATAATGTTATAGGAAAAAATCGATGCCTTGTAAAAAACTAATAAACCTTTTTTAGCCTAAAAAATCTTAACTGGCGACCAAATCTGAATATTCCTAAAATTCTTTGAACATTTTGTTTTCTATATTATGATTTTAAATTAATATTTTTTGTATAATATTATTTGATATTTGTGCTTTCAACTGGAAAATCAGTTTCATACAATAAAAAAATTACTTCAAAACCTTATATTTTGGCAATATATTCAACGGTTAAGGTGGTCATTCCAAAGATGTTCAACTTAATTCAACATGTAAAAAAATTGAAAAACTATAAACATGTAGTGTAGTTCAGTTATCAAAAATTACTAAAAATTCGGCCATCGGTTAAGTAATTATAATTTTATAACTAAGATAAACATTTTTAGCTTTTTACTGTCAAACTTTCATATATGTATATATAATGACTGAACACCCCGAGGTGAGATTGTCACAAGTCTAGATCATATTTCTTTAGACGATGAGCCCCTTTTACTTATTCAGTTTTTCTTATATCTAGATTGTTCCTCTCATTCTCTTACTTCTCTATTTTGTAAGTCTTTTTCAGCCTTTTGCTGACATTTTAATGTTGGTCTTCCCCTTTTCGTTCTTTCATTTAGATTCCATTCTATCATTACGAACCTCAACTATTCATCTCTTACTTTCTTAATCTCTGCATTTTTGTTTTTATATTCATTTTGATCTCTTTTGATTTTCCCTAGTTAGTTCTTTGGTTCACTATTCATAAGGTTGTTTTTATCATTTTAAGCTATTGCCATTGGCAAATAATATTGGCACAAATAGTGTTATAAATGTTCACCTTAGTTGTTTTAGTCAACATTTTGCTTTTAACCTTTTTCAAATTTCCTTTAGAAAGAAATATTGATAACTTTTTTAAAAAGTTTGCATCGTATAGTCTGCAAACTCTAAAAAATGTATCCTATTAGGAATCATCTCGCGTCAATAATACCTGAATGATCCATTTACATGTTCCACTTTGATATAATCTGGTAAAAAATTTACTTAATAGGAAATACGTTTATTATTTCACTTTATGAACAATTTAATTTTGTACGTGGAAAATATAAAAACAATTTTTATTATTGTTTAAATATAAAAAAAGGCACTTGGAACATTTTATTCTATTATACATATTGATCATGTAGGGGCCAGTGTCCTACGCTATTATATCGAATTCAGGATGCAATACTTGTCTCTTATTTAGTGTATTCTCTTAAAACGGCCGTCCTCCTTTTTTACTTGTCTCGGATTTTCCAGCTTTCAAAAACGCATGCCCAACTTGAGATTTGAATTGGAACAGGGTGATGTTACTTCTTTTTGTTTGGAGTGTCTTCGGCTGTCTTCGGTACAGCAGCCACGAGTTGACAATACATGTATTAATAAGATGAAATATTATTCTCAAATAGAATCTTTTTGGCTTGAAATGTTAATAGCTAACAGCCCTATGTAATACAGTCCTCATACACTGAAATTGAACGGTGTCAACAAAAACGTTCTAAGTCATGAAAACCATTTTTTCGGAAAACTGAAGAAAACTGTATAGATCTGTATTAGTCATCTAAATTAATACCAAAAAATTTGAGAATGTTTTTGACACTTTTAGATGTAATGTTTCATATTTCTAAGTAAAAATAATAGGTGTATATATATATATGATAGGTATCTATGTTCAAATGTGGTCGACTTAGAACTTTTTTGTTTACATTCCTAAGATGACAAAAAAAACCTTCATTTTGTTTTAAAAAATGTATATTTAACCTAAAAAATACAATTTTTAAATAAAAGTTTTAAATGCAAACATTCAGTAATTTTTTGAATGCTTCAAAATGTCATGTTTTTTTCTACTGGATGTCATATTCATCTTAACCAGTATTGGGACTATCAGATGTTAGCCACTCCATTAATTCGTCATGAAACTGCCTGACACTATCAGGTATAAAAGGTAACAACTTTTGGTGGTACTTTACCGGAAGGATAACAAAGTATTGTGGGAAGTTCAATTGATTGATTGTTAACTTGAGAAAGTTTATAGGTTTCTTCCATGAACCCATCAATAAAAGACCTACAAACAATCACACCTCTAGCTGTTCCATAGGTAAAGTGCATAAAAGAACTTATCCAAAAGATATCCTATCCTTAACAGGAATAAGTTTTCCTCTTTCTTGTTTCCTCAGAAATGCACGTCTTTTGATAGTAGATTGGCCACCAATTTTGAAAATCTAGTATATCTTCTGTTCTAACTTCTTTGACTGTAAACTTATCTATCGTATTACTCAAAGTAATAATAAGTTCGGTTATCTTGTGTAATTTGTATACCCTATCATGTCTTTTTAGTTTTCTTTTGATGATTAAAAAATCCCTGTCACAAGAAAGGTAGGAGTGTCCTCTTATGAAATAATATTGCTTAATTCGATCGACAGTTCTATATCTAAGCCCATACATATAAGAAGAGGCGTTCGACAGGTATGTGTGCTTTCCCCTCTTTTATTTAACATTTATTCAGAAGCCATATTTCAAGAGTCCTTGGAGGATGCAAAGATGGGAATCAAGGTGAATGGAGTATTGATCAACAACATACGATATGCTGATGATGGTGTCTTAATTTGTGACAGCATAGTCGATCTTCAACAACTTGTCACTATAATCGGAGAATACAGTGAGCGAATGGGACTAAAGATTAATACCAAAAAGACCAAATTCATGATCATCTCCAGAAACTTGGATGCATTTGAAAACTCCACCATAACACTGAATAGTAAATCCATAGAAAGAGTGAGTAAATTTAAATACCTGGGATCGTGGCTTTTTGAAGACTGGGCATTGGACAGGGAAGTAAAATGTCGCATTGAGCAAGCTCGACAAGCTTTCGTAAAATTCAAGAAGGTACTGACTTGTTCTGAGTTCGATCTTCAACTGAGACTAAGGTTTACTAAGTGCTACGTATGGTCAGTGCTGCTATATGGCGTAGAGGGCTGGACACTCAAAACGAGGGATATAAACAGATTGGAAGCTTTCGAAATGTGGCTTTATCGCCGTATCCTAAAAATACCATGGACAGCGAAAATCACAAATATAGATGTCCTTAAAAGAATAAACCAAGAACGCCAACTTTTTGAAACCATCAAGGAAAGGAAAACGGCGTATCTAGGTCACATCATGCGAAATGAAAAATACCAGTTCCTCCAACTTATAATCGAGGGTAAAATTGAAGGCAAGAGAGGAATGGGACGCAAGAAAATGTCCTGGCTCCGAAACATAAGGCAATGGACAGGGATTAACGACATACAATCTCTGATACATATTGCAAGAAGTAGAGAGTTAATGGAAAATGTGATCGCTAACATCCATTATTGGATTTGCATCTGAAGAAGAAGAAGAATTCGATAGAATCTACCACTGTCGGTAAGTGCTAAAATCACTCTATGGTTTTTATTTTGACCTCCGCAATTATCCGAGTAAATGTGGACTTCCGTAAACTGAGGAGGAGCAGAGTTTAAATAATTATATACAAAGGAACAAACCTCATCCGAACTTTTTCTGACGGTCCCTTCGTAATATAGATAAATATTAGACTTATTGCTTTTAACGTCATGAATGCAAAACACATTCACCGTTAGTTGTCTCAAATAAAAGGTTTCCTGTACTGGAATCATGGGTAGCGGTATATTTTGCATATAATCAAAAGCTATTGCTGACACATCTGATTCTTTTGCTTTTGTTTCTTGGTTAGTTTCTCTTTTTAATTTATTGTAGAATTTTTAGCTCTACGCTTGTGAATCATCAATTCAGCAGAAACATTTCTTTTTGCTGCATCACTAAGATGAGGACTTCTCAATTTGAAATTTAGTTCTTCACAAATAAAGCATAAGTCAATCTGGGGGCGACCAAATCGTAAATTGAAGTTGTCTTATTAATAGCCTGGTATGAGCACTGATTGTATTACTGCCCAATTTTTTCCCACGAAGATCCTTCGGGGTATTACCCATTAATAATAATGAACGAAGCTTTCTAATACGACTTATTTTAATTCCATAGAGCGCCTTAAATGCTTCTATACATACCTTTTCTTTGGTTTCACCTACAATAACCTCGTATGTAAAATAAACATTATGAGCAGGCCGTGCAGAAGCACCTTCTTTTCTGGGTCTATGGGTTTGTACATTGTTACAGGTACTTAATCAATGATTGTAAAAAAATATCCTGCTCGTTCTTAGTTTCCAATGTTCTCAAATTAACGAATATCTCTTGATTCTGCAAGCGGTCTATACACTCTGCTTACATCTGAAATAAAAAAAATCTCGATGAAATAAACCTTAGTTTATTATATAGACTGCAAAACGTATCTTACCTGCAATCAGGGCCAACAGTGATACCTGGTACAACTCTACCTTTGTAATTAATGTACTCTTCACCTTTGACTCTAACATTT